TTATATATGTTTAATTGCTTATCCTACATTTAGGACACAATGGTGATTGGTTGGGATTTATTTTATTAAGAAAATATGGTGTCCTGTGCTGTCTATGAAGCATGTTATATTGAATTTCTTTAAAATTTATTGCTCAGAAACAACGAGTGGGATAATTCAAAGCTGTTCTCCCAAACATCCTCCCAATAAGTGTTCCCCAGATCTGTCTCCTAATGTCTGAGGACATTCCTAACACTATGATTAACACATCCTTGCAAAACATTACATAATTTCAAAATAAAACCTTTTATTTAAGGTAAACTTGATAATGAATTTTTCTATAGGCCCTGGAAGCGTGCAAGAGTCCTGCGACACCCTGATACCAGAAGTTACAAAGTGACAAATTTGAAGGTAGGCATAGAAATCTTTGGATGAGAGGCCAAATGTACTTTGGAGTTGGGCAAAGGTCATCAGTGCACCATTGTTGTCAAATAGAGCTACTATTATTTGGATACCTTTTTTGTGCCAGTGTCTAAATACTGCCGAATTCACACCCGGGAGGAAGTCCTTGTTGTTGGTAATTGGTGTAATAGAATAAACTGAACCCTTCCTACCAATGTAATTGTTCTTATCTCGCCAACTTTTCACTGTATTTTGCAGAATTGGATTATCTTCCCTCTTCAAGCAGGATTTTTTCCCCACCTGTAAGCTCTCCTAATAAATTAAAGGGATTACATGCCCATTTTTCGAAAGGAGCTTCCTGGCCTTTAAGATAATTGTGAAACCACTCATTGATAATTTTGCTATGATAAGCCCAGTTATAATGCCTAATGTTAGGGAAGGACAAACCCCCTTTAACCTTTGGTAGCTGTAAAGTTCTCATACTCAGCCTCAGTCTTTTCCCTTGCCAAATACATTTAGAAAAGTCCCTTTCAATCTCTTTAGCTATCTTCTTAAAAATATAGATTGGTAGCAATTGCATTAGGCAAAGTAATCTTGGCAGGATGTTCATCTTTATAAGACTTAGAGTATTCTACCCATCCATGGAATCTGTAAATTCATCCATCTTGTGAGGTCGCTTTTGTTTATTTTTGTACTTTACCAGATTATTTCTAAGCAAGTGCCCAAAATTAGGCTTTACTGTACTTTGTATGTCAATCCCCAGATATTCAAATCCCACATCAGACCAATAAAAGGGTGAGATAGATGGACATGGGGTTTCATCAGTAAAATCAATCAGCATTACTCGTGATTTATCCAAGTTAATTTTATAGTCTGATAGGGAACCAAAATCCATAATAATAGACATTAGTGCCGGTAAGAATTTTTCCAATTTTGAGATGAAGAGAAGCACTTCATCAGCATACAAAACTATCTTATAGAATATTGAATCTGTTGAAAGTCCCATTAGACTAGCGTTGCTTCTTATGGCCTCTGCCAATGGTTCAATGGCCAATGCAAATAATAAGGGGGACAATGGGTCTCCTTGTCCGGTAGATCTTTCCAGTGAAAATAAGAGCTAGAGCCATTAATCAAAACATAAGCCTTAGGTGAAAGGTAAATAACGTTAGCAAAATTTATAAAGGCTTCTCCCAATCTGAATTTCCCTAAGACCTCAAACAATTTTTAAAAAATTATATATATATATATATATATATACTATCTCCGTTACCA